TTTTAGGCTAATATGACGATGACCTAATTGTTGATCGACACCCATTGAGTAGCTTCAGTTCAATATAATTAAACAAGTTTGCATGAGATCACACCAAATTATTATATTATCTCTCTTAATAAAATTGACTTGGAGAGCAATAATATTATTGAATTGACGTCCAAGTTTATATATATATATATATATATATATATATATATAAACACGCATAGTTCATCATGTAAACAACCAAATAAATTTTGGCATCTCATATCTAATTTAAGATGCGAGTCTCACTTTGTTTTGTGAAAAAATATATACTAAATCAACTAATAAACCAACTCAAAATGTGATCTCAGCACAAATCTTTCTTTCATCTAATAAAAAAATAACAAAAAAAAAATATCTATCCATTGCATGATAGATTGCAAAGATTGGAGTCGCGATCAACTTTACGGTGTTGATATGGACAGGTGGTGATGCACTTTAGGACATCTTCTTCGTTGTCGGCACATATTGGATGATCCCACCGGTTTTCTCCATATAATACTCACAGAATGGCCACTTCGAGCATTTTAAATTAATCTCCATCTTTCTTTTAATCCAAAATCGTCTCCATCTTTAGGACTTTTTGAGTTAACTTTTCTTGACTAATGGATTATTGTATGCTTCTAACACTTAAAATCATCATCATCTTCTTTACTTAATCAGTAATTATTATATTTTTAAAATTTTGATATATTTATAATTATGTAAGCATAAAATCTATAATATGTTATATGTAATACGGAAAAAAATTTATACTAGGATTGATATCAAATAACATTAGATCAATTTTGATTATACATATTTTTTTGACGCCATCTCTAAGATCCGGGCATCGTTTGTAGATCTAATTCTTTCACAGACTCACTTAGATTGATGGTTCAGGGAGGTTAAGAGAGAAACTATAATTTCTCAATTGTATTTTGTCGTTTAGCTCATAGAGATCCTGTTTATTTATAAGAAAGAACAGAAGGTCTAGGATAAGTTATTAAGAGAGTTTCTCGTATTAAAGGGATCTTATTATAATATAAACTTTTTTATTAGTTAATATCTATCATTAGAATCTAATTAATTTTATTATATATCTTATCCAATTATAAAGAGTCACATTTTGTAACATTTGGTACTTAACTTCTCTTAGCAATACTATAAGGCGCATCAATAATGTGAGTAGATGATATCGAAGGCAACATGTGGTCGTCTTGGTGGATGAACCGAACTCCACATAAAGCATAAGGTTAGTAGAGACCCACCAAGGCGCGAGCTAAAATAAATGATGGAGAAAAATGTGATATCACGTGGCATTGAATGGGCATGTGGATAGGACTTTCGCCACCGTGGTTATCCATTTCTCTCGTCCTCAATAGTTTCTCCGTGTCTTTTGTGGTGGGCTGAATTGGATTGACATCAATTGATGGTGTTGCATATAACTTTTCTTCTATCTCGCTCTTATCTTCTATGATATCTTATCGAATCATAAAGTTCGATTTAATATTTTAATGGTGTTGCATAAGAGTGATCCAATCATTTGACTGACTTAATGGTAACGAGGGTTTGAGTAATAGAAGAATTAGGAGGAAGTGGATGATGACTATTGTTGCTTTAGATTTAATATGACATCTAATGTAGGTACATAAAGGTGGTGAAATTGGAATGGTGAGGCAATCATTCGATCGTCACATCATACGTGGGTGTAAGGTGTGCTGACAGTGGTGTCGAAGGTCGAGTCACGCACACACCTCACGAAGTTTCCTTCTTGGAAGAATAGGAGTCGCTTGTTAATGACTTCGATCCAATGGAGGTCACTTCGACCACTCAAAACAATGATTGAGGTGTTGGATTTTGATCCAATCTACATGGATGCATTTTCTTTTTTAATACCGCCTAATTGCATTAGTTTGAATAGTTCAAATCCTCACGGCTAATAATATTTTTAGTTATTTTATTATTTTTGCTAAACAAAATAGGATGATTTTTTTAAAAAAAATCTTTCTTTTTTTGGCTTTTTCGATTCCTTTTTTTTTTTCTCATATGATATCTCTATGATCTCGTAAATACCTCTCGTCATCATTCGTTGCTCGCTACCTTCATCGCCTTCGCTTCGTCCCCTTTGCCCTCACATCTTGCTCCTCCCCCTCCATCGAAGCTCGACACCATCGACTCCCCTCCATGCATTCTTCCTCTTTATTAGATCTTAGTATCATCGATTCTTCATCGAGCTAATAATCATATCTTTACCGTCATGATAGAAGCAACCCCATCATCATTGACGAGCTTTATCGCACTATCACGGACAAAGATGTAAATAATATATTTGATATAATGCTCATGTATGTCTGTATCTTTCGATTTTATTAGTGCTTTGCACGGTATGCAGAGGACTCGTAGAAGGCTTGACAATCTTATTTTAGTTGACTTTTGTGATCGTTTTAGGTTTATAAATATAGGTTGTGTGTACTCATTGTTCAAAGGCAAAACTGCTTAGAAACACGACGTCCAAGAAATTATTTGTGTATAGCCGTCGTACGAAGTGTTAGCCAGCACAATATCTCGAAGCTATCTAAGTAGCACAAGATTAGATGGGCCTTTGGGGTAGTCTCCAAAGTTGGTTTGTCGCTTTGTTCTATTATAGTATCATGTGGGCACTTGTAGGGATATTTGGTTGCAGCAGACTACCTTAAACCCTTTGTCACATGATCGTTCAAAACTTGCAAAGTTTATATTTATGACTTGCATTGTTTATTAGGTGTTTACTGAAATGACTACTTATAGATCCCGAGTTGAATACTTTATTTAACTCATTTTCTCTTTTATAGGTACTTAAAAGATCGTAAGAGGTTTTGGGGAGATTGACTATTTGCGTATGGACACACAACAATGCCACACGACTCATGCAAAGCCAGCTAAATCCGTGATAGCATGTCGAAACCCACTAGACCTCCACTACCCATATGTCAACGGAGAGTCGATAGTGTCATGATCCAATGAGGGAGAGGTTACATGTAGAGAGTGAGGATAGAGTAGTGGGGCAGAGGTGGTGGCGTCTTGCGATGGGTAAAAGTAGTGAGGATAGAGTAGTGGTGTCTCGCGATGGGGCAGAGGTGGAGGTCACTTCGACCACTCAAAACAATGATTGTGGTGTTGGATTCTGATCAACTTAATTGATGAATTTTACTTTTTAATACCGCTTAATTGATGTATTTTACTTCTATCCTTACCCATCACTACTCTATCCTCTCGCTCCTTCCCCTCCATTGAAGCTTGACACCATCGACTCCCCTCCATGTGTTCTCCCTCTTTGTTAGATCTTGGTATCATCGATTCTCCATCGAGCTAATAGTTATATCTTTACTGTCATGATAGAAGCAACCTCATCATCATTGACGAGCTTTATCATACTATCATGGACAAAGATCTAAACAATGTGTTAGATATAATGTTCATGTATGTCTATATCTTTCGATTTTATTTATGCTTTGCACGACATTAAAGGACTTGTAGTAGGCTTGACAATCTTATTTTAGTTGGCTTTTATGGTTGTTTTAGATTTATAAATGTAGGTTGTGTGTACTCATTATTCAAAGGCAAAACTACCTAGAAACATGTCGTCCAAAAAATTATTTGTGTATAGTCGCCGTACGGAGTGTTAGCCAGCACAACATCTCGAAGCTATCTGAGTAGCACAAGATTAGATGGGCCTTTGGGGTAGTCTCCAAAGTTGGTTTGTCGCTTTGTTCCATTATAGTATCATGTGGGCACTTGTAGGGATGTTTGGTTACAGCAAACTACTTTAAACCCTTTGTCGCGTGATCGTTCAAAGCTTAAAAAGTTTATATTTATAACTTGCATTGTCTATCAGGTGTTTACTGAAATCACTGTTTATAGATCCCGAGTTGAATGTTTTCTTTAACTCATTTTCTCTTTTGTAGGTATTTAAGGAACCATAAGAGGTTTTTGGAATATTGATCCTTCGCGTATGGACACACAAGGGTGTCGCATGACTCATACAAAACTAGCTAAGTCCGTGATAGTATGTTGAAACATGATAGACCTCCACTACTCATATATCAATGGAGAGTCGATAGTGTCATGATCCAATGAGGGAAAGGTTGCATGTAGAGACCGAGGATAGAGTAATGGGGCAGAGATTTCGCGATGGGATAAATATGACGAGTTTATGATGGTACGAGGGGTATTACAGGATATATATATATATATATATAAAGAGAAAAAAAGTCCAACAATAGATTAGTAAGTTAGGCGAGTATTGCTGTATATATTGAAGCAAATTGAGGAGAGAGCGAAGTGAAGGGCTATTTACATCGTACAAAAATGATTGATTCATCAATCATTCGATTGACCACCCAATTATCTTTACAATAAACATGAATTATAAAAACAATTATTTGTTTTCATGTGAGTTGAATTTGATGTGTATCTGACTCACACCCTATGAAGCTAGAAGAAGCCCTACTCCCTCGGCAATTTGTTTATAGAGTTTATTAATATTCAAACTCATTTTACTTCCTTTTTATTTTGAACAAAATGTTTAGCTAATTGGATACATCTAATCAGAAAAACTTTTCTACTTCTATTTTATTTTTTTCAAATTTCTATTATTTCCTATAGACCCCTCCTTCCCTAATTTTTTTTCTTCCAATCCATCAATGGATTATATTTTTTTTTATCTTCTTCCTTGATTTAAAAAAAAGCTGATTAGTTTTTATCAATGAAAGAAAGTGCACAGTATGATCAATAAAAGACTCTCTCCCTTTCTCTCTCATCTCTTCTTTTTTTTTCTCAAAAATAAATAAAAAAAAGGAGTCTTATCAAACTCCATGTGCATAACCATAGGAGGAGGATAAAAAGATCATCTTTTGTCCTCACATCCATCCCACACAAAAAATTCATTTTTTATCGCCGTCTCCTTCAAGATGTGATTTGGTGTCGCCCCTCGAATCCAAATCTCTCTCTCTCTCTCTCTCTCTCTCTCTCTCTGTGTTTGTCTGTATGCAGGCAGAGCGGGCTTCGCTGAAAGATCCCAACCACTTCTCGTGTTGGAGCTATATAGTTTAAACGAGTCTTCGTTGCTGGGCGCGCGGGCTCTGATCTGCTCCTGTCTCCTCCCACCGTCGGTGTTGGGCTCGAGACTCGTCGCGTAAAAATAGGGTCTTTGGGCGGGTTGGTTGACCCCAGAGGCATTATATTCGGCGGCAAGAAGAGGCAGCAGCGGCTCCTTCACATGGCGGTCGGTTTGGAATCTACAGTGCCCCTTTCCTCTCTTCTCCAATCCACCTAGCGTTGGAGATCCTCGAATGCGACGGCGAGGAAGGTTCGGAGAGCAAGCGAGGGTGGTTGGGAGAAAGATGCGATTTTTGCCTCTGAGTGGGACTACTACGAGGGGTTTATGACGGTGCTGTTGTTCTGCTCGAGAGGGTCTCAGGTGAGATGGAAGGTGTTCATGTTGCATTTTTGGCTTATCTTTCGCAACAAGTTGATGTCTTTTAGCCTTTACCGGACTCTTCTGATCCGTTTGGTGCCCTTTTTGTTGGTTAAAGTTAGGAGCTCGTTTGTCGTGGAAGCATGTCCTCTCCTCTGCTCGCTCGCAAGGGCCGCCAGCAACAGCGGTATGACAACCAGCTCCGGCTTGTCGCAGGGTACCTTGCACTTCTATCCTTTCCTATATATTCTTCTTAAAGCTCTCAGTTTTGGAGTGGATGAGCTTCGACTTACTGTAGTAATGCTCCAGTGAGAAGGACAAAGATGATTTTGTTCCACCTACTGCTAGATGGTCGAGTATAGTATTCTTGAGGTAAGCAGATGTGGCTGAGAACACAAAGCATCCAGCCCAGCTATGAAAGTTACCTTCATATACCTAAATAAATCACCAGTGGAATTGTTGTTCTAATCTGTGATCGGAACAACAATTTGTAGTGTGTCTATGTCTGTCCTACATCCAACGAGAAGCAAAAGTGTTCCCAATTCCAAGCTGTGGAGTGAAAATTGGTTTTGGATTGGAAATGACAACACTAGAAGCAGTCGTAGCAACATGGCTGCTCCAGATCTATCATGTAATGCGTTTGTGTGATGTTCTGATGTGGATTCTGCTTCATCTGAACCAAGTGTCAAGGTTGCATGCCAAGGAAATGACTGATCCATGTATATATAATATGATAGATCGATGTTCAGTTTCTTACTCGTGTTCCTTTTGATCTGACCAGATGTATTCCTTACAAGCTAAACAACATAGACGGGGATAACCAATCCTGTGATTTGCTAGATAGAGTGGAAGTCCTCATGGTCACTTCTCCAGGTCGACTTGATTTCGTCTTCCCAAAGGTGAGAAATCCTTGTTCTCCTTTGGGAGTCAGCTCTCACAGAAAAGTTATTCTGGCTTGGGATTTCTGTGTCTGATACATCTGCTGTGACAGGGTGGATGGGAGAATGATGAGACTGCAGGTGAAGCAGCATGCCGTGAAGCTTTGGAGGAAGCAGGAGTGAGGGGAACTTTGAATGTGAGTATGCATCAAACTATTTCGTTTGATGAGATAAAATTTGTGATCATGGACTTCTTAGATTTCCATTTCCCTAGCTTCATTTCAAAGAAAATTCCTCGAAACTGGTAAAAAGATTAGCCATTATTTGAAGGCAATGAGGCACTGTGCAAGAGAACTTTGAGAAAATTCCTTTTCAAGTTATTATTCACATTCATGCATTTGATTTCTAAGAAATCAGGTGCTCTTCTCATCAGTCTACTTTCATTAGTGTGATCAGATCAACCCAATGGGTACAGTTTTCTCATATATCTGATATATGTTATATCAAGAACAATTTTTTACTCCTGTAATCTTCGTGGACCCTCAAGTCAGCTGGATTTTAGTAAGATTAATGTGCTACTCGATCCAACTACCATGCATGTGATGTGTTTCTTGTCTCCCCAACTATTGCACTTCCGGTCTGCTGGTAATGGGAGGCTAATACTCATGCAAGGTTTTTTACAGGACACTGTGGTTGTTGTCGGTCATATTCACTGTAATCACTTCCCAAATAACATTTCCTCGATAGATTTACAAGAATTTATGTCTATGGACATACTGATCGACCATTTGAATCATTATGAAGTTGTCATTGATCTCTTTCTTCACTTGTTGCTCCAGGACACTGCTCTTGGTGTTTGGGAGTTCAGAAGCAAGAGCACACAGAAGGCCTGTAGTCTGGAAGGAACTTGCAAAGGCTACATGTTTGCCTTGGAGGTCACTGAGGAGCTCGACTGCTACCCCGAAAAGGATAGCCGTGACAGGAAATGGGTGAGTATCTGATCACAAACGACATACTGTGATCATCTGACAAACTCCATGCTTACTTTCTTTCCCCTAAAGGTGCCTGTGGGAGAAGCCTATAAGCTCTGTCGATATGATTGGATGCGCAAAGCTCTCGATTCGTTCAAAGATCTTCTCAGAGGAAGACGCATACCTACTGTTCCTGAGTTATCCGAGCCACCGAGCTTGTGCATCGTGAAGCCTTCCGCAGCTGATCATGCCATCGCACTGTGCTGATGGTCTCCCTCGACCCTTCAGGGTTGAGGAGAAGCTAGGCCTTGTGCCATGGCGACCTGTAACCCGGTGAAGTGATTGCTGTGTGGAGTCTCAGTTGCAGGCATTTCTGTGACAACACTACTTTATGCTGTAAAGTAGTGTTGTCAGAATGAATCAGAGGACCGCGATAAATATTTCAATTTTAATTTTCCTCTCTCTCTCTCTCTCTCTCTCTCTCTCTGGTTCTTTGAATAGAGATCTCCTTGTAGTATACTAAACCCTAAATATCTTTTTACTATTCATAACGGCACAACTCCTTCCTATTGATAATCCTTTAAAAAGATAAAAATATATTAGTTTACTATTTATAACTTTAGTATTATTATTATTAATTTTTTTCCTCACACCTCTTTATTTTCTCATGCTCACTTGCTATTAATTTCGTTTATTATCGACATCACTCGTTATCATTGCCCGCTCGATATTGTCCTCCCGATAAGAAAGAAGAAGAGTATCGAGAAAATAAGAAAGAAGATGATATTTATATTTATCTATAAATAGATAGTTTAAAAATATTATTTTTTTAAAAAATATGATTATAAATAGTAAAGAGGGGGTTATAAATAATAATTTTCTTATATTAGTATGTTTTGATATTTTTTCTAAAAAAGTTCTCACTTTGAACTTTGGCCCAATGGCGCTCCAATAATTGATTTTTACCTAAGGTTATTTTTTTTATCAATTTGATAAAAATATCAATCTATACTCCATCATCAACTTATAATTGTGATTGCCTCCACAACCGTCTACCCCTTCTCTCCTCTCATCATTTTACCTATCACCTATCCTTCTGCTAACTCTATTTAGCATTGCCCATGGGCAATAGCCTTGTCTCCCTCCTCTATTGCATGTGCATGTGCAACGCGGATAGTGAAAGTGGGCAATGAGGGCACCAACAATAGAGACAGGTCCCATGGCCAACGAAACCTCGTGACTAAAGCTAAAGGATTTCTTATCTTCGATCATGAGGAAGATGAAGCAATGGAGGGTAACGTAGGCAAGGATCTCTTAGTCTTTGATTGTGAAGGAGGAGCGACGATTGTAATGGTTGTAGTGAGTCTTTATAACTTTACACATATACTAGTTAGCTTATGAAAATTTTACTTATTTTTAATTTTATTATAGTAAAATTTAAATGAGACAAATTAAGAAGAAATATAATTAAGATTAAAGTATACAAGAGATGAGTTAACTATATTTATGGCCAATGTTCTTAAGCTTATAGTTTTGTCAAGTATTTTGAGGATATAATATTGAATTCCTCAAATACTATTATACTAAATTTTAGTTAGTTCTTTTATTAAGATGGCATCTAATGAATCGTTAATAAATTTAAATTAATTTTTAAATATTCTAATATACTAGTTATAACTTGTAATGAAATCTAAATATTATTAGTAATTATCATAAAATTAAATCCTTTAGACATTTCTTGATCATTTATTTTAATTATTAGCTTCATAGAACTTTCATTAATTATGTCTATGATTTTTTTAATTAGTCGGATCAAGGTCTAACATACCTAATATAAATAATACATACTATTTACAATAATTTAATACAAAAATATATGAATATTTATTAGAATGTATTGAAGAAAGTGCCATTGTAATAAAATAAAACAACATTAATGCTTTAAGTTTTTTAATAAATATTAAACTATTGATATCATCTCTATGTATATTTAATCTTATGATGAAATATTAACATATCTAGTATTCACATAATAAATATTTATATATGATTGATACCATCCTTATAGAATAATATTACTATATGTGAATATACAACAAACACTAAACTAGAAAGATATCCAAAATAATATCATTCTATTCTATCACATAATTATTTGAAGTAGATTATTTTTAATAATTATCTAAATCTCTTAATTATGTATGTCATTATGAATATTTTTTAAATATTATTTATGATTAATTTTTTATGTAAATTTATAAGTTATTAGTCTAGTCTACTTTGGTTGCTATAAGACCAATATAATACTTTAATAATTTTATAAATGATAAAATTTTTATTGTAATTCACATCCAATAAGTTTATCATCTCATGCTACTTTGTCAGCTACTAATTAGATGAAATTTAGGGATGTGAGTTACAAATAATATTTATCAAATTTCTTTAATCTAATTTATGTTGAAACAATTCAATAGTAACAAAATAATAACTGTAATAATTATCAAATATTAATTAATATAAAAAACTCATATGATAAATCATAAATCATGATTTTATATAAAGATAAATATTATTTCATAATTTCAAACATATACATGTGAATAACCAAGTAAATATCCAAAAGTAATAATTAGATTTTTAATTATCATATATAAAATTTTATTAATATCTCATATGAGAAAATTATAAAAAATTATAATTTATAGTTTTCTTAAATTAGATCAGTCAACCATATTTAATTGGGTAGGACTAAAATTGAGCTACCCAAATTGAGCTCAAAGATTTGAGATAACCATTCGCTCAATTAGGCTTGTCAAAATTAAAATTGATCAAAGTAAAAAATTGATTAAGATTTAACTTTTTTCCAAATTCAATCAAAACTAGATTGATCTAAATCTAATCGAGTAACCAAAATACAGTCATGATTAGGTCATATCGAAGTATTTGATTAAAATAAATTAAATTAGTCAATTCTATAATTGAAGACAATTTTAAAAAATTTAATTTCTGAAGAGTGAAACTATAATTTTACTTGGGATATATAATAGAAATATATATATATATATATATATTAAGAGCAGAACTATTAAAAGGACATATGTTGGAATTAAAAGACCAAAACTATAATTTTAATAAAGCACTACCGACGAATCATCCCATCATGTATCTGTGCACATGTGCATACTAATGACAGCCCATAGTCATCGCGGTGTGTTGCTATGCCAACTTGTTCGCTATACAACTATTGGATACTACAACCTTTGGCACTAACTACAACCAACAAACACTGTCGCGACGACTCTACTGTAGTTGCTACACGTAACAACTCTATTGTAGCCACCACACACAACGACACTATTGTAACAATCACAAGCAACGGTGTGGACAGTGATATGCGGTGCTACTATAGTCGCCTATGACCAAGGCAAGCCAACCACAATAAGATTGCTGCACACAAGCAACTGTGTATGCAACCACTATCGATTGTCATAGTCTACAACACTTTCGTTCCATTCGTAGTCACTACCCATGATTGGGCTGGCAACCATCACCCTCAACAATACTATCATCGATAGTAAGCTGTCAAAAGTGGTCCACCAATCAAATATGAGGAATCTCGTGTCGCCTACAAGCAAGCAATAAGATGAACCGAATATGAACACGAATTAACGACACAAACAGATCATTCAAGTATTGTAAATCAAAATCGAATAATACATTTTCACAAGTGAATGGTACTAGTAAACAGAGCTACATATAAAATAGATATAAAATACTTATACTATCTAAAGCGTTTGATTTCAAAATGTGAGTCTAATACCAATTGTAAACATAAAAACTGTGATTATGCTATTTTTATGCATAAAACTTTAATGTCAGAAATTAAAATTAAATAATGATATATAATATTTACAATGCGACATCGATTTGTAAAGAAAATTAGACTCGTCTTCTCATCTCTTCCTATCAAGACCATAGGACCAGTATGAGTAATGGATTATGGAATAAGGGTGATTGAGAATATCTATAATCTGATTGGGTTATTTTATCCTTGGGAGGTCTTATCCTTTTATAGACAAAAGTAGAGGATTTATGATAAATAATTAGGAGAATCTATTGCATTAAGATCATCTCCTAAAAAATTCTATCATAATTAATTTTTTTTTTTTATTAGTCGATAACCGTCCTCAAAATCAAATTATATTTATAATATATTTTATCCATAATCTAACACAAATTTTATTTTTCTTTGCAAAGATGGTGTTTTTTTTTTTTTTCATTGCTTCCTAGCAGCATGAATATGTAGATCAATTAATCCTCCTCCTTTAAATGTCATATATGTATTTTCAAGGTCTTCTTTCTTGTTCCAAAATATCGGTTGTCACGCGTGGCATCCAAATACGTGTTGATTTATGAAAAGATATTAATCATAACTTCTTTCTTTTTGTCCAAATGAGATTGTGGATTTCGTTGTTTTAGCACCTACCAAATGTATTCATAGTGATCGCCATAACAGTGTTAGAATAATCTCATATGTGTAATCTTGTCATAGAAGCAATTTGGTGGAGATTCGTGTTGATAGCTATTGGCATTTAATCGCACAAGGCAGTAGTAGTATGTTTATCTTGTCTTGGAAGCAACTGAGGAACAAGAGGAATACTTTTTTGGCAGTGCTTTGTTCCATCATATCTAGTCTGGACCCTCATTCCTTCTCTTTGGTGCAGATCCTTGCCATCATCACCTCTTTTAAAGACCTGCTCTGGTGCATCAAATGGAGGTGGTGTCGAAGTTTGAGAGTCGCTCACTTCATGGGTGCTCTAGACCTGACCGTAAAGGTGTCAAATGTTTCCCCTAAGACAAGTCGAGCGGATCTTATTTTCTTCTTCTCGTACTGTGGTACTGTCGATGAAATCCAGCTGCAGAGGTAACTCGCCACCCTCTTCCCTTCTTCATGCTCTACGTGCTGACTTCAATGACTTGCTGCTGCTGATCTTTTGGCCATCGTCAGAGATGGAGATCAGTCCCAAACGGCTCTTGTGACCTTTCGGCAGCCATATGCCTTTGAAACTGCTCTTCTATTGAGTGTAAGATAAACGATAGATTCCTATTTATTTTCCAAATATTTTACTTGATTCTATTATTAATCTTCGAATCATTTTACATTTTCCAAAAGGATTAACCTATGTTTCACGGGCCTATGCTGATCTGATCTTACATTAGGTGGCTTGGAAAAGTTGAATTGCGTTTTTCTGGCTTTGTTTCATTAGGTTAGAGAGCATGGTTGGGTGAAAGAACCAAGTCTATGACCATATTTTGTTGGATTTCTTGTGCAGGGAGCACCCATACTGGATCGCTCCGTTCGCATATTGCCTGCGGGGAACTGGAAAGACATACCAGTAGATTGATGCTTCAGTATCTTACATGGAGGAGCTCTTCTGCATTGGATTTCTGAGGCACTCCAGAGGAAACATTAGTGATGCTTCGATTTGGATGGATTAGTAGATTAATATCAGAGTCTGTAAACCGCTTGCTTTGAACAATCAGCTCAATTCTAAATTATATGTATTAATAAAAGAGAACAAAGTATATATATA